AGTGGTTAAGGTGCGGGTAATAGGCGTGTGTGGTCAAGGGAGGCCAGCGAGCCACAATGTGAGCACGAAGGACCCGTCACTTGTGTGATCCTCCGCGTCTGGGCGCCGCTCCGCTACTGAATGACTGGCTGAGACAGCGCGATGGATGAAGCTCTCGGTTGCCAGGCGTAGGGTCGTGGTTAGGCGTACGGTGGAGCCCGGGCGTAGGCTGGCTCCCAAGTATACGGCGACTGACAGACGTCAACTCCATGCAGATAGTTAGTTGACCAGACCACACACTAGAAAGTGAAGGGACGACGACGTTTCGGTCCGTCCTGGACCATTCTCAAGTCGATTGTGACTTGAGAATGGTCCAGGACGGACCGAAACGTCGTCGTCTCTTCACTTTCTAGTGTGTAGTTTGGTCAACATACTTCAGCCACGTTATTGTGGCTCCTCGTTTGCACGCAGACAGTAAGTTTCAATAACATGGCTGAAAATTGGGCACTCAAGTCTTAAATATAAGTGTGACACTATGTAACACTTCATACAGTCTAGAGTAGCTGCATAAATGCAGATGTACATGTCTTAATAGACTACTTGGAACAGTGTTTGTCTGTCTGTCAACAAATGCATGGGGAAGGTAACAAGATCCTTTTAAACAAGAGATGTTGGTACTTTTAAAGCCACTAGTGCTATCTAGGGTGGAACATTGATGAACACTAACATCATATTCAGTGTTGGAGAAATTGCCCGTATTGAGAACCTTTACTGCCAGATTCCATTGACAAATTATTGAGATTGCTTAAAAATCCTCAAAGTGTACTCTCTGTAGCGCTGGCCAAAAATGCTATAATTTACACTTAGAAAATATTAGCAAGACTGGTTCCAAATCTGCACACTGAAATAATTATTTACGATAGCAGGAGACATGCCAGAATAAGCAAAACAGCCCTATTGCACAGATGAGTTGCAATGGATGAACTAAAAGATAATTCTATAAGCATTTGGGTCTAAGACTTTTCAACACACTCCCTCTAAATATAACATGCATTACTAGCCGACCTCTCACGGTGCTCAAATGGGAATTTGATAAACACTGCCGAGGAGTTTTATTAAATGGATTCCGGCAGCAAAGTTCTCTGCACGTTCTCCATGGTAGCAACTCCACCTCTGAATGGTGTTGTTACTGCAGTAATGTTCCAACCCTAGAGGGTACTAGTGATTGATTATGATCAGTACTAGTAATTGATTATGACATGACTATGATCAGTACTAGTGATTGATTATGACAAGTCATCATTTGTTTGTCATAGCTTTACTAAAAGGTTCTTATTATCCAGCCTTTAATTTTTCTTGCAGTTGTGACAGGTTATTGTGATCTTTAAAGTGAAGGTTTTATCCGCCTTGAAAAGCATCTACAAAGAGTACCTAACAAGCCTGGCTGTGAGTCTTACCTCAGATAGCGTGCACCGGCGTCTGATTGGCCAGGCCTGGTCAGAGACCGGGGTGCGGGATCATAGCTCCCCGGAACCACCTCAATGTAACTCATTAAAAAGAGGTCAGGATCTCCTCTTGAGGTTATCTTGAGATGATTTCGGGGATTAGCGTCCCCGCGGCCCGGTCCTCGACCAGGCCTCCTTTTTGTTACACATCAGCTAGGAAGCAGCCCGTAGCAGCTGTCTAACTCCCAGGTACCTATGTACTGCTAGGTAACAGGGACATCAGAGTGAAAGAAACTCTATCCATTTGTTTTCGCCTCCACCGGGATCGAACCCGGAACCTCAGGACTACGAATCCGAAGCGCTGTCCACTCAGCTGTCACGCCCCTATGGTCTGAGGAAGACTGGCCACAGGCCGGGCTAAAATACTCTAACACATAACTCGAACCAGACTCAAGTAAACTACAAGGTACTTGATACAGGTAGCTGGCTCTCGTAGAATTATGTCTGGCATCGAGAAGACGCCAGGCATTGGGTGGTTGACATGGGTAGGGTGCCTGCCAACGAGGAGTAGGTGCCTGGCAAGGGGGTGCCTGCCACACGATGGGGGTTGGTGCCAGTCGTGGGGTGGCTGCCAGACAATGGGTTGGTGCCAGTCGTAGTGTAGCTGCCGGGCGTATGTTGTTGTTGTTAGGGGAGGGGAGGGGGGTTTAGTAGCAGATAGGAGCTAGCTGCTAGGCGCAGGGATGGTCCCTGGCGTAGGGTGTCCGCTTGTGTCGTAGGGGGTTGCCAAGCTTCGATCGACCTACACACACAAGGAACGCCGACCCACGCCTTCGCCACACCCGCCACGCCTCAGACCACATCACTTCCACACCCAAGATCCTTCACGCAACACAAAACTTAACGTCAATAATCGTGGGAGAACTCAGACAAAGTCAAGGTTCGAGAGCCCCTCTGCCGCCTTCTTGCTACTTTGGGAGTTGAACAACTCTCAAAACCGACTACAGGTAAACTACAGATAAAAAAAATTCCAGATAAACGAGGTTTCGCTAAGGTCTTCTTCAAGTCTAATGAAAATGATTCCAAAACGACATACATGTAAACATTTATTTCTGTGGTTAATGTTCGTTACGCAGGTGTCACTCTGCTGGCTGGCACACGAACTATAGTCACTCTACTGGCTGGCACACGAACTATAGTCACTCTACTGGCTGGCACTCGAACTATAGTCACTCTACTGGCTGGCACACGAACTATAGTCACTCTACTGGCTGGCACACGAACTATAGTCACTCTACTGGCTGGCACTCGAGCTATAGTCACTCTACTGGCTGGCACACGAACCGTATGGCCTCAACTGGAGCAGAAAATAAATAAATCACATAATCAATCAAGAGATCTCTAGGTTAGTCAGCGTCGGAGGTGGTGTGTGCGTCGCCAGCCTGGCCCCTCCATGGAGACTTATCCATACAGTCTCAGTCTCAGTCTATCAGTCTATCAGTCTCTCAGTCTCTCAGTCTATCAGTCTCTCAGTCTCCTTCCCCCCTACCTTTCCCTCTTCCCTACCTTCCCTCCCTCTCTCTCTTCCCTACCTTCCCTCCCTCTCTCTCTTCCCTACCTTCCCTACCTGGGGCCTCACAAGGCTATAAATACACCTCAGCCAGCCAGCTAAATGCAAGATTTTTATTTCCCGTGTATAGGTGCCTCTTGTCGCTGGCATTACCTGGATGTCGACACACACGGCACTTGTATACGACAAACGGACATACACACAACCTGCCGTACACTAGCAGTCATTGACATACGAAGGAACAGGCTGAAACCAGGTATATGGGAACTGGTGTACGTGGCAGGCAGTCGTATACGGGAGCTGGCGTACATAACAAGCAGATATACACGGGAGCTGGCGTACATGGCGAGCCAGTTCCTGTGCACTGATGTAGACATAAATACCACGTTAGTTTTACACTAAAAGGTGGTGGCGCATACGGACACGGCTGAAAGGGTTACGCCCACGGGCTATGAGGGGTTACGAGCATAGGTTAAGTAGTTTACGCATATTTGGAAGTCTTACGCACAAGGAGCTATATAGGAGGTGAGGAGTACAGAGGAGAGGTGGCTACGCAGACGGGAAGAAGGGGGTAATAGTATGTTGACCAGACCACACACTAGAAAATGAAGGGACGACGACGTTTCGGTCCGTCCTGGACCATTTTCAAGCCGATGAGAATGGTCCAGGACGGACTGAAACGTCGTCGTCCCTTCATTTTCTTGTGTGTGGATTGGTCAACATACTTCAGCCACGTTATTGTGACTCCTCGCCTGCAGAGGTAATAGTACCCAGGGGGAGGTGGTCACGCTAAAGGGGCATGAGGTTTGGCAAGCGGGAAGACGATTTCCGGAACCCGGGAAGAGAATTATCCGGGTCATTACACACTCGGCACAGATATACTCTTCTCAAATAACTTCAATCCACTTTTAGAACAGACGACTTGCCAGAGTGTTGTCGGCAGGAAGTTCTTGCACGAGGCATGCTCTGACACGCCCAGCAACATCGTAGGCTTGTGAATCAAGCTAAACCGGTGGCGGGGGTCGTCAGAGGCTCCCCCGCATGGGATTAACGATCTACGCCTGGCTGGCAGCGGGAGGGTCACGCCAGAGGGGTCAGAATCTTACTACAGCGCGGCCACAGGACTCGCCACTAAGGCAAACGTCACAGGAACACCCCTGGACAGGCATCTCAGAAGCGCTTCAGCTCCTGGAGTGCCATCACATGAGTGTCCCAGCTCCCCGGGAGGTCCTAGCAGCAGATCCAAGAGCAATTTTTCAGCGATCTTGGCAAGCCTCTAGAGCTTTTTCTCAGAGCACACCAGATAACCTCTCGTGGGTCAAAGTAGTTTTAAGAACCCTCTAAAAGCCTTGAAGGGTTTCAGATGGGTATAAAAAGACTTCAAATGACCTCAAGACTTTTCCAATATCCAAAAGAGGCCGCAAATGCTACTTGGAGGCTTCAAGAGGTCCAATGAGGTTTCATTTAGTTACCGGAAGATCTAGATGGTTTCCGAGACTTCCAGACGGCTGCAGAATTTGTGAAATATATTCCAAGGGGGGTTTCACAAGATCTTCCAACTGCCTGCAAAGGATTCAAGTAGTTTTGGGAGGCTCTCGGATAACCCCCAGGTCTTCCTCAGCTGCCAGAGAGATTTCAACGTTGTTCGTTAGTTTATATATGAGGCACGATGGTAGGACTGAAATTGGAAACCTATGATGACCAAAACACTCATCAGAAAATGAAGAAACAACGACTTGATAATGGTCCAGGACGGACCATTATCAATTCATGTGAATACAGCGGACACGAGTGGACGTTTCTGTCCAGGACGGACCGAAACGCCGTCGTTTCTCCACTGTACAATGTGTGGTTTGGTCATTATATCTTGAGCTAGGTTATTGTGACTCATCTTCTGCACTGGAAGCCTAGCTGGTGGTAGACAAGGAGTAGACGACCGACATACTTTATTGGCGTTACCTTGTAGGTAAGTATTGAGGTAGGCAGAAGGCGACTTAAATAAGTTCATCTATAGGTAGACAGGAACAAAGAAATCAACCTTGTGTTTACTTATAAATAGGTAAGTAGGTAGATAAACAGGGAAGCAGCGACGAATCTACCTAACGTTGCTTGTAGGTAATCAGG